TTGAATCGTGAATGAGATTACTAATAAGGATATTTATGCACTGCGATATACTCCCTTTGTCCCGAAATAAATATCCAACTTTCCTTTTCGGTCTATCCCAAAATAATTGTCTTGTTTTCCTTTTTGACAATAATATGTGGCTCATATCAATTCACCTTTTTCTACTCAAATTTTAACTACTTTTTTAACCTTTATCTTTTGAAACACTTTTTAAAAACTTTGAAAAAGCAAACAAGACATTTATTTTGGGACACAATAGTAATAGCTAGTCAATATATGGCACTAATATGAAGGATCAGGTTTCATTTAAAGATTGAGATATAATAAGAAGTATAACAATATAAAATCTATTGTTAGATTTGAATTTCTTTCATCAGCCTAATAAGTAATAAACTAATAACAATACAAATATGGAATTAGACTCGACTCTCAAATAGTTTGATTGGATATAACCGAATCTCCAATGCTTAATCAAACCGCTACCCAGGATCGGCAAACCGGACAGGTCCGGTTTTTCCTCAGCCACTTAACTACTCCGTATGCATTTATGGTGAAACCTATGCGAACAAAACGGCCCTAACGGCGTGATAACGTCCCCTTCCTTGTACTCATCCAAACAGACGGAACAAACCTCCGCATGCTCCTCGTTCTTCTCTCCGCTGAACTTCTCCGTCTTCATACCGCAAACCTCACTTTCCGACAGCCCCGACGCGTCTCCGCCGCCGGGTGAAATGTCCCTCTCTCCCGCACCGCCCGTGTCCAGCACCAACTCAACACCACTTAATATCCAGTCAACAAGGGCCTCTATTTCCGAAAGGGAAACCATCATATTCAGCGGCGGCGGAGACGGCGTTTGCGGCGTCACATATGGCGGAGGAAAAAGAACCCGTTCGGGAATAAAGACGGTGGCTTCCAAGACGGCGGACATGGACAGCCCGTAGCGCAAATGCCCTCCGACGCAAACCTTGTCAAGAGCAACTGCCACTATCTGGCGAGAGATCGCCCGGGCGGAGGCGGGGTTGACGGTGAAGTAGGCGGCGAGCACCCCGGAAATCACAGACAAAACGCCGTCCGCGGAGGAGAAAAGGAGTCGAGGATCGACTTCAACGGTGGAGGAAAAATCCCTCAGCGTAAGGGTCTGGAGATGCCCATAAGGCAAAACCAGCAAGGCTTTAGTGATCATTCTCATACGCAATTCTCCGTGGGTGGGATCGTCTGTGACAGCGTGCCTTCTATGTTCCCGCTAATTCTTGGCTCCGCCATAGCTGATGAGTGATTGATCTTGCACAGAATATACGTAGTAGTATAGTTTACGTAGTACGAAGTAAGAGACAATAAATGTAACGTATTTCAAGCATGTATATATACTCCGTACATACATACGTTAGGGTTTACGTACTTTTGGTGTCCACTGTCCAAAAGATATACGGAGTATGAGTTTCTTGGCGTCCAAATAACAAATTTTGAAGTTCTTGATTTTAGAGTACGTGATTTATTTATAAATTTCTATTACTATGGTATGTTTTTGAGCAACTATTGAATTTCTTGATGACCAATGGTATATTTGTATGTCATCTTTGAATATTAGTCAATGATCCAATGCCATTAAATTTTGACTAATGATAGATTTAGGGAGCGTACATTGCGGTTGCTTCTACTTTAAAAAAATGATTCCTTAAAGTGATTTGGGAGAAAGTGTTTTAGAGTAAAAGTTGATAATGTTTGGAAGAAGAAAAAAGTGTTTCTGACACAGTAATAAAAGTTGATAATGTTTGATAAAATAAATGTTTTTGTGTAATTGAAAAAAGTGAAAAACAGTTTAAAACATCCTTACATCTACTTCTAGCTTTTAGCTTTTTAAGTGTTTAATTTAAGCATCATTTGAAAACATTTTTTTCAACTTTTTTAAAACCAAACTGAAAAATATTTTTTTTAAGGTTTAGCAAACACCTCCTTATAATTTAGGGAGAATTTTCCATAAGGACTAAATGAAACTTTAATTTCCAAAATAAGTTTTAAGTACTGAAGTACGTGTTAGAAACGTTGTGAATATCGAGAATATACAAAAGGTTTGATATGCGATGTACATAAATGTTGTCAACTTCAAATTGTTTAAAATTACCTGCAATCATGTATTCATGTTTGCACTTTGCAGTGGATCGCATGGTATAAAATTATTGACAAATATTCTGCATTTAATGGTCAAAATGGTCATCCAAAATGGTTCAACGAAATATCGATTTGCCTAATAAGTACTTCGTATTTGAAAAAATTCTAGCTAATAATAAGCTAATGTTAAAGTGAAGTATTTTATTTCAAAAAATTATGGCTAATAAGCTATGGTGGAAATGAAGTATGTCCTATTTTATAAGATATCTTTAATATTCACTTCATCAACATAAATCACTCTTTTTTACGGTAACACAAATCACTCTTAATCTCTTACTTTATACATCAAAATTTTATGAAATTTGAATTATTTTTTGCAGATTTTGTCGCAGGTTTAATGTAGTTTTTGAATATGTAATTTTTTTTCTAAAAATAATTTGAGTGCAAACAGGAATCTGTTTGCTTTATCGTTGGTCAAAAATCATAAACCGAAAAGTATCTTATAATTTGGGACGGAGGGAGTATTTGATTTTAAAAAATTGTGGTTAACAAGCTATGGTTAATAAGCAGAAACAGAAAAAATTACAGATGAACATATATAGTATAATAAAATCGTAATGATGACTGAGACTGAGAAATCACTGATTCGAAATCCGTAAAAGAGTTTCAGGCATGTTTACCAGGAGTTTCAGGCATGTTTATCACAAGTTTCCACAACCTCAATTTCGCCTCTGGTCCAGTGGAGGATCTAGAGGGTGTCTGGGCCATGCCTGGGGCATGTACAACTCGATATCATTGCTTCCGACTGCGAAATCTAGTACTCCGTATTAGTACTTATGCTAAAATACGCCCTACATCCAAAATCTAGGGATGAAGATAGTTTCATCTAGCTAAGAACATACCCTATATAATAATTGTAGTGAGAAATGTAATCGATCACGGAGTTGTGATAGAGAGATTCTATGCAATTAGACATATTGTTGGCATGATCACTAAACCTTCTTTGAAAAGTGACATTGATGACTTTTTGCTACGTATGAATAATGTTTGTTTAAATTTAGATGTCAAAAATTATGATATGACAAAGCTTCTAATGTTTGGGTAAACTTAATTAATGGATTGCGGATTTTTATCTTAAATAAAAATGCATACATGAAAAATGTATCAATTTGCGATAAATTAATATAATGTTGGACCGATTCACCTTTTTATTTTCCGTATTGCAATAAGATAAGAGTTCGATATAAAAAATCAAATTATTAAATAAAGTTGTATTGAAGGATGAAATATATAGCAAATTTGAATCATACTTCATTTATAACACGGTAGTATTATATTTCAAAAAAATAAAAATAACTTTTGTGGCACAATGTGTAGCGTTCAACTTGATATTAATTCACCGGACCATTTTGTATTATAAAAAGTAACGGGAATTCTAATCCAAAATCAGAAACGAGGCAAAGACAGTTGATTTCTAATTCAAATTATGTGTTTCTTTCAGAAAGCCAAAGTTTATTGTTAAGGATGTTTTTACTTGGACTGTAATTTGTTGATCTGGTCTGTTTAAGTCTAGTCTGGTATGGTCTGTTTAAGTGTGAACTGGTCTAGTCTGGTCTGGTAATGTCTGGTCTCTGTGTATTTTATAACTACGTACAGAAGTCAAGTCTAGTCTGGTTTGTTTAAGTCCGGACTGGTCTTCTCTGTTTAAGTTTGGTCTAGTCTGATCTATTTAAGTCTGCTATGATCTAGTATTCTAGTCTGGGACTGAAAACAGTCCAAGTAAAAACATCCTTAAAACTGTTTAATGAGTTCAGAACAAGACATAATCCATAAATGTATATCGCTTGAAATTGGTATCGAATAGACATCTCAGGGCCGTAGATGAGGGCGTGCAAAGCGTGCCTTTGCACAGGGCCTCCAAAAATATAAGGCTCATTATTTTGTAAAATCTATATAGTGTATATAGGGTAGTTGTTTTTGAAAATAGTTGATTAATTTATTTGCCCGAATGATCCAACTATTCAGGTTATCCAATCAAAGGTTAAAAATTCACTTTTTCTTATCCCATTTTCATTCATTCATTTCCGATTTTAGATTTTTTTACTAGTTTTATTTGTTCAAGTTTGAGAAAGTGATCATTTTTCAATCTCGCATTTGTTTGTAGTTTTTTTGGGTTTTCTTAAGGTTGATTTTTGGTATTGTATTAATTTAATATAAGGCCTATTTTTCGTGCCTTGCACCGGATCTCCTAATACATTGAGCCGGCCCTGAGACATCTCATACACGACTACACTTAATAGACAACTCATACACCCGACTCGGCCCAGCTCCACTTGACCCATTCATGCAGTAGTGCCTGTGCTTGACAAATTTTCTGGGTCCCTAACTACCCTGATCCCTTGGTAGAAAAAAAGAGATAGATTGATTTTGAAGATAATGATGGTTTAGTTTGTTATATTTAATACATGAATACAAAATTGCCAAAATTTCTTGTTTAATCGTAAATGATTCAATAAACTTATGTCTTCTTGGGTAGAATTTAGATCTAGTTATCTTAACTACCGTCTATATTGAACTCTTTTAATAAATGCTATACAAAATCTACGGAGTATAAAATTACATATATAGAGATGAATGAGATGATGTTTTAATTCCATCTAAGTCATTTGGTACATTTTAAGGTGCTTGACTTTTCCATGTTAACTACGAAGTACTACGTACTACATATTTTTTGTTAACCATATATCAGTGATTATATTGTATTTGATATTCAGAGAACAAATCAAAAGTTGTTACTTATTTGCAAATACGTAATTTGAAAATGAATAAAAAATCTGTACAAAATCAGAAATTTAAAAAGAAAGATGACTCGGGAACTAATTCAAACGAATGTTCTAATTCCCTCTATACAATATTCGAGGATTTGATTATAACCACATTGAAATTAGGAAGTAGAATATAATTATGCAATAATAGTAAATGACATATTCGATTCAATTCAGATGTAATTAAAACTTCTAAACGATAAAAGTCTGCTGCTAATTGATGAATTAAACCACAATTGTAGATCGGCAAACGGGACATGTCGGCTTTCTCTTCAGCCACTTAACGATGCATTTATTGTGAAACCTATGCGAACAAGACGGCCCTAACGGCGTGATGACGTCGCCTTCCTTGTGCTCACCCAGACACACGGAACAGACTTCCGCATCCGCCTCACTCTTATTCTCTCCGTTAAATCTCTTCCTCTTTAAACGGGAAGCCTCTGTTTTCGACAACCCTGGCCCCACCGATATTTCCGGAACGGAAAGCGGCAGCGGCGGAGAACGGAGGGTGCATTTCAAGTTGATTGACAAGGACAATCCGAAACGCACTTCACCGCCGATGCATATCAAGCGGCGAGCGAACCTCACTATCTCGCGGGCGATCTTGCGGGCGGAGGCGGGGATTACGGCGAAGGTGGTGGCGAGCACGACAGAAATCTCGGACGAAGCGTTCTCCGGGGAGGAGTAAAAGAGTTGAGGGTTGACGTTGAAGGCGTCAGAGACGTCCCACACCGTGACGGGCTGTGAACCCGTCATGGCTTTAGTGATCATTCTAATACGCAATTCTCCATGCGTTGGATCTTCCATAATTGTGAGCCCCATATGCCTGATTCTGGGCGCCGCCATAGCTGATGATTGCTCGAATGAGTGTTGCAAAGAATTGTATGAGATAATTATAATTGATGTAATGAAACTACTCTCATGAGTCAATACTTATACACACACGGATATAAATACACTTTTAAGTTAAAGATAATATATACGGAGTATACCCCAATTGATCGAAATCGGATGGCTTTCTTGCTGTCCAATTTATAATAATTTTTTAGATTATATATATATATTCTTGTTTAAAGTTTTAAGTCATTTGAATTTGTATTTTGTAATAATGCCCGTATGCTTTTATTTCTAAAACACTAATTACTGGGCCACGTACTAATCAAAAAAGATCAAATAAGGTCTTATTTATGAGGTTCTGTCCGGCCTTCGTCATTTGGGGTGGTTCTCAGTGGAATTTTTTGATGAATTTTATTTACCATCTTATTCATTAAGTCTAGTTTACTCATACCAAATTTCAGCTAACAATTCAATCGGAAAGGTAGTCAAATGAATTCTTGAAGATAACTGCGCTTTTAACTGCGCAATTATCTTCAAAAATTCATTTGAATGCCTTTCCAATTGAAGATTTAGCTGAAATTTGATATGAGTAAACTAGACTTACTGAATAAGATGCTCAAAAAATTTCATCAAAAAATTCCACCGGGAACCACCTCAAATGGCGATGGCCGGACAGAGCCTCTTAAATAAGGCCTTATTTGACCTTTTTGGTTAGTAGGTAGCCTGATTTGCCCCTTTTCTCATGTAGTACTAGTAGTGTATGTTAAAATGTTATAATTGTGCCCAATGTAGAGAAAATAAATAATCACACATTTCATTTCATTTCATTTTTATTTACCTCAGTGCCGCAAAGGCTCCTACCTACGGATGTACGCAATCTTACCCCTTTACTAAAGCACATGTAAATTAAAATGTTATACGTGGATATTGATTTATTTTTATAGAATGTGTAGAATAAAGAGTAATACGGCATGGCGTTAAAGGTAACATGCTAGTAATTTGGCAACATCAATGTACAACGGTGCAACAACATTTATATAATAGCATTGTGTTAAGTTGGCAATTGGCCGTTGGATTTTGGACGTTGGCTGATCCTGTTGGCTGATTGGTGATAGCGGATTTTGTTGGCTGTTTCGATTAGCTAATAGTGTTAGCAGTTTAAATAGTGGTTGGTTAAACGGTTGTTTACAATCGGTAGATAACTTGTTAAATTACTTTTAAGGACATCAATTAACATTTTTTGTTAATATTATTAGTATGTTAATATTATTAGTACAACTACTTAAAAATTAATTTATGATCTAAAAAATAAAAAATAATGAAAACAAGTAATAATTATTTTAACGTCTTTTGCTGAATTTGTTATGGCACGTTGCACCAAGAATTATGGAGTGTTTCCACTCCAAATTTTATTACGGTAATTTATATGCATTAGCTAGAGGAAATTACATGAGTATATAATCATTTATGCTTTTGTCTTTGTATTCTCAAGTTGGACTTAGGTTCAACCGTTCAAGGGACAACCTTTGAGTGTAATCACTAATCACCTAGCATTCAATGCTCTGCTTTTTTATTTTAAGTTGAAGAGGAGAATGTAACACACGAAGAAGAGTACACGGCTTGGGCAGAATAGGAATATAGGCGTAATATTCAAACAGCCGGTAGCTAAACGTTGGATTTATCAGCCTTTTGGATTTTGGCTGTTTTGGATAACAAGCCAAGTGAAAAAGTCAACTTACCAAACACTTCAATTAGCTGTTTATCTGGTCAAAAAGCCAAATACTAGTCAAATCAGCCAAAATATGCCTGATAGGCCGCTAACCAAACACTCCCGAAGTATTAACAAACAACACATGCAAAATTTAAGTATACTAAGTTGGTATTACAATTTACAACATCACTAAGAGGACTGGTTTTAATACTCCCTTCGTTCTCTAATACTTGTTCCTCTTTCCATTTTGGGTTATTTTCTAATATTTGTCTCTCTTTCCATTTTTGGAAAGTTTTTTCAATAAATATACTAATTTACCCTCATTCTCTTTCCTACTTTTTCATTTTTTTTCTTACTTTTTCATTTAAACACAACCTACTACACCTTTTACACTACCCCTATTATTTTCCTCTTAAAACTTGTGCCAAACCCTATAGGTAGGGGTGAGCAAATAACCGATACAACCGATCTAACCGAAAACCGATGACCGAACCGACCGAAAAATTTGGTTTTCGGTCGGTTATCGGTTGTTAAAAATTTAAACTTTCGGTTTTTCGGTTAATCGGTTATTATTCGGTTATTGTTATCGGTTATCGGTCGGTGACCGATAACCGACCAAAATATATAAAGCTTTACTAAAAACACTATTTGGGGTAGTTCCCGGTAGAATTTTTTAATGAAATTTTATAAGCATGTTCCTTATGAAATATAGATCATCTCCACTAAATTTCACCTTAAAATTCAATCGGGAAGTCAGTTAAATATTTTTTTCCAATTTACAGTGCCAAAATACATAAAAACGCAATATTTTTCAAAAATTTATTTAACTAACTTCCGGATGGAATTTCAAATTGAAATTTGGTGGAGATTATATACACTTCAGTAGGAATATGCTTATAAAATTTCATAGAAAAATTCCACCGGGAACCACCTTAAATAAAAAAAAATGCTAAATATTTCTACATGTTCGGTTATGGTCGGTTTTTCGGTTACCGACCGAAACCGAACTTCGGTTTTTCGGTCGGTTAGAGTTATACTATCGGTCGGTTATCGGTCGGTCATTCCAATTAAAAATTTTGGTCGGTTATTCGGTTATCGGTCGGTTATTTGACCGACCGACCGAATGCTCACCCCTACCTATAGGGCCAACTAATGGAGAACGGAGGGAGTAGTAATTATAAGAGTTGATAATAGATGCACTTAATATACTAAAACCACCTAATAATCATTATAGACTCTATGACAACAAGCCTAAATCTATAATTTGCATCTATTTATAATAGAAATTTACAATGAAGTTAGCATTTTTGGCCTTTTCCCCTTATTTTAAATCAAGGCATGCAACGCCCTATCACTACGAGCTGATAAAAAATCCTAGTGGCGGCGCCATCATCTTTGTATTGCGCAAGAAATGGTCCGGAAACTTTATTCGCCAATACGTGAAGTTACTTTCCCGAAGTGGACACGTTGTGGGGAGAATTCATCATCTGAGTCATATTTCACTCCCCCATCCTCCATGAAGAACTACTCCACAGTGGTCAAATGTCTACACCGTGATGCCCAATATGACAACGAGCACCACGTTCATGGAAGAACAAATCGCCCATCTAGCTAAGGTCATCAAGGGGATGACTACGTTCATACATACTCAAGATCAAAAGTTGAATGATCTGAACAACAACGTAGAAAGCTTGAAAGGCGAGTCAAGTCATGCTCATGAGAAGGATTCTGAAGTGCATGAAGATAATGATTCTCACCAAGAGAATTCGGGGAAGAACATCTCAACCTCTGGGGGCATGATCTCGATTGATCACCTCAAATACTTAATTCATCATGGGAACCATAAAGGGAAGATAAAAGGAAATCAATCTACTTACTCCTATGTTAAGCCATACACTTAAATGATCGAGGATCTAAAAATGGCCATTGGTTACCAGCCGCCGAAGTTCATCCAGTTTGATGGGAAGGGAAATCCATGACAACATGTTGCCCATTACGTGCAGACTTGCAATAATGCGGGAACAAGCGAAGATCATCTTGTCAAACAGTTTGTGTGTTCCTTAAAAGCAAAGCATTTGACTGGTATATTGATTTGGAGCCCGATTCCATTGACAACAGGCAAGATATGGAACGTGAATTCTTAAATCGTTTCTATGAGTCAGTGTAGGACAATCTAAAACAAGTTTATTTTTTTTAATGAACTATGCTAGTGATGAGATAAATTTGTGAAATTAGACATGTGAAAGTTTATTATTTTGTACTATTTTGTACTAAAATACTTCGTATGATTCATCTGCCTTTAATACAAGAAGACAACATTATTAAAATTTCTTTTTACCGATTCAATAAACTTCTATCTTCTGGGGTAGATTTATCTAGCTATATATAGTATCCCACTTATGATGCCAACTAATTAATTCTACTTAAGTTAAGGTAATATAATTGTGATTGAAACATTCTAATTGGATTGATTTCAATTTTAGATCAGATTACACTTCGACAATTACAATAGGTACATAATACGTGAACATGTCAAACAAATTCTAATCATATACTAGATCAAACCACAATTAAAATTACAATTCGATCAATGCAAACGGGTTTTACGTAGTACGTAGTTAGTATTTCCTCTGTTTCTAAATAAGATCAACACTTCACTTTTCACTTTTACCGATGCACAACATTGACCATTGATGTATATAATTCTCTATTAGTGGAAAAGACTAATAAAATAGGATTTTGAAAATTCACAATCAAAAAGCAAAAAGAAAATGAAAAAGACACTACAAGAAAACAATTGTTTGCCTACAATTCAGAAACGGAAAACACAAAGAAAACCGTCGCTGAAAAAATTAGAGTCGGAAGAGTGACGGTTTTTATTCGTCGAAATTCATTAATATATACATTATTAAATAAAGCATAGTAAAGGTAGAACATATGGATAGTAACTACATTACTATATTTAGAAATTATGACTAATTTGCAAATATGATATCTGAATATGAAACAAATCACTATAAAATTAGAAATTCAAAAAGAACTAAGTTATTATTGCCAAAAAGAATTAAGTTGATCGGGAATTATGAAGTACTTCAATTCAACAGTTTGGTAAATTGAAATTTGGAAACAGAATTATGTGCAGGAAAAATTTACAGATTCGATACGATTGAAATCAATTCAAATACTTCTTCATACGTACACGGAGCATAAAATTTCTATACAAATCCGTATAGTATGAATCTACGGTCACTCAGTTTTGACTTTTTTCAGGATGATTCTAATTGCTTAATTAAACCGCTACTCGAGTTCGGCAAACCGGACACGTCCGGTTTTTGCTCAGCCACTTAACTATGCATTTATGGTGAAACTTATGCGAACAAAACG